TGTGCTTGTTTTGAGAGCCTTGGTATTGTAACTAGTAGCAATTGTCTTAAAACAAGTGAATTGTTTTAAATCAAGTACACGGAACGGGAAAATCATGTGCTATAATATCAAGAACAAGTTAGACTTGGTTATATGACACGGTGTAATAAACGTAATCCTGTGTAAAGTACGATTAGCAGTATGATTATGATTATAACATGCTCTGCCGCGCGGTACTATGTCGTGTGTCGTGAAGACAGCGAGTCGTTGAGCGAGATCCTCCGAGTCTCTGCCGAATGCAGCCGAATGCATGAAACAGCCGTTCCGCGCATGTCATGCCGCGGGGCGGAGCTGCGCAGCTGCGCCAGTCCCGCGTCCTGTCCCGTCCCGCCCCGCCGTGTACTTCCGCGATGCAGCGCGCCGCGACACAGGTCCCCAAGTGGTGGCTCTATCCGTCATACATCGGCACACGTTATGTAAAGGAACCGACACCACCAGATGTTTTTGGATTTTAAATCAGAGCTTCGCGTCATATACACTGTAAACCCAACTGTGTCCATGGTACTCTCTTCTTTGCGTGTACTGGTAAAGCACACACAAAGAGTGTGTGGCACGCATGTACACACTTCGTTGTGGGTGCTTGTAAGTACACACAAGGAAGAGTGTACTATGTACACAACACAGTTCGGTTTGCAGAGTATTCAGTTACCCTCTCAACTCTCACCAAGCCTCTCACTAACCCCTTCTCACCCCTTTGCTAACAGACCCTCTGAGGAAAACATAGCAAATTAAACACTTTATCACTATAAAATAGAAAAAAAAACAGTTATGAGAACAAAGATACGAGCAACGCCAACGGGCACCGACATAACGGACAGTTTTCTAAACTTCCCAAACACATTTCTTTCTGGCAACACTGTAATAAAAAGATAAGGGCACGGGTCTCGCGAGTTTCGCGGGAATTGAAGAAACAACCCAGAGCGCTGAAATTGGAGAGGATAAACTGGACGGATAGGAAGAGTCGTTTTATTGAGAGAAAAC